TCAGCATTAAGTTTAAAAAAATTAGAATATCGATCATAAAAGCAAAGATAATTTTCTCATTTCTACAACTGTTTAGGAATTAAAAAGTGTATGCTCATTCTTGATTTTTTTCCCCAAATGGTTCCATTACAGAAATTTCTTTTTGTGTAATCAATTAGAGAGCTTAAAAATCTGCCATTATTTAAAATAATCTTGTTTATTCAATTGTTGGTAACACTTAGAAAGTGAGATTATATTGTAGATTTCTTCAAAGCTTTTAAGAATGTGTCCTAATGGAGATTAAATTAATCACAATTAAATGGAGATTTTTTTAAAAATTATATCCTTAGGATTATATGTAATATAATTTCCAGTTTTCAACTCTCAGCTGTGTACCTTATAAAAGACTTCCACTGTAAAGCTCTGTGCAAAGAAAATAAGAAAGCCAGGAAATAACTACCTTTACACATAACGTAGACTTACCGAACACAGCTCTAGTGTACACTACTTAAACAAAACTACTTCATCCAGAAATGTCAAATCCTTGATTTGAATAGTCAGCAATGACCCTCAGAAGTTCTTGATGAGAACTCCTCCTCCTTCAGTATTTAAGCTCTAATAAAATGTGTTAGTTTGCTAAAAATTTTAAGAGGATAAATTCATTGACTGCCTACCTGAAAAGACTAAAATTATATTTTTTAGATCTTTCTTTAACAACACAATGATATACAAAGCAGTCCAAGAAGTTTTAGCTAAAATATGAATTCAAGAAGTATTTCCCTTTGAGAAAAAAAGGGAGGGGCTTCTGAATAGACACTGCAGATATATTAGTTATGGTATGATACAACTAAGAGAAATAAAAAGTCTGCTTTCCTATATACATTGCTAAAGTCAGGTTTTAGCAATCATTTTATAATAAATTCCTCATAAGTTAAATTCTACATCAACATAAACAGGCTTGCACCATAAATGTGTCTGAAAGGTATTTCTGACTAAAAAATATTTCTATTTAGAAAATTTTTTATGTGGCAGAGTTGAATTCCACGAAGTCTTATAAGTCGATTATTACACCAAGGACAATATACTTGCTTCTAACTGGGAAGACTGCGACCCTGGGAGGACATGTGGCAGGTAACTCACCCTCCAACCACACAGTATCAACCTTGCCCACCACAAGGCAGCAGTGTCCCATCAGGGATTGGACACCAAGTTCCTCCTAGGCACTTGGGATGTGAAGAGGCAATTCATTTACCTCCCTGCACTAAACCCTCACTTCAGATCCCAGTGCCTTCATGGAGAACTAAAACGTAATGACTACAGAAGTTTGACCTTTATGCAAGAATGTTTACAAACACTAAATGACATAGTCAGGTAAGTAACTTTGGCTGAAGAGAACTAAGTTCCCAATCCCTTCTCTAAAGATCACATTTCAGTAAATGAGTATATTTTATATTCCTCCTCCCCATCCCCCAAAACCATAATAAACAAAAACTACCACCACGAACAAAAAGCTAAATGACCAAATCCTTCAGTCTTGTTTGTGCAAATAGAAAACATCGGAAGGTCCAGAGACATAGGGTCTGAACAGCCATTTTGTAATGGGTAATTCAGAACTTACTGGGTTAGCCCTGCTCCCACCCTGTCTGATTTTCTTTTCTATCAAGCACTTTCTCTCTCCCTTTTAAGAATATCTACAAGACAACTCTATCAACAAAAGGCTTGTGGGAATAGTTACGAAGCAAACTTAAGCTTTGTCGAAGCCAGATATTGAGAAAGAGGTTGCATAAGCAGACTGCAATGAAGAGTTTTTGACACCTTTACCGTTCTATAGTGAGGTAATCAAAATGAACATTTGCTGTATTACATAATACTTCTAACCACTTCTTTTCCCTCTGACCCACTGCTACTTAATATGAAGGAGGAATGTAAATGTTAAACAGGAAAGGGAGAGATAAAACAGTTCGGTTAGGGTGAGGAGGTAGTTGTTATTTTTTACAATTAAAACAACTTAATTCCTGCCAAATATAATTACGTAATCCTAGCATCTTCATAGAATTTTAAAACTGGAAGAGTCCTGACAGACCATCTGGTCCTACCTTCTCATCTTACAGATAGGAAAACTAAAAATTTAAGCCCCAAATTATACTGTTATGTAATGACAAAGCCAGGACTTCTGATTCAGTATCTTAAGTATTTTCTTTGATATCTGACATATATGACAAGCAATTTTTCACGGTTCAAAGTTATGGACACAAAAATAAATGAATTGCTGCCTATAACAGAAAATGTATATATAATTTCAAATTCACAAAACATAAATCCTACTTTTGGCTGTTTCTATACCTCTAAGACCTTGGTGTCTATCAGAACAGATGGAGGAAGGTGAAAATAGGGAGAAAATGCCAGAAAAAAATGAATAGCAAGCTAGTGGAGATAATATCATCAATAGAAATGGCTGTTGGGATTAACAGCTACTAAAAGGGCAAGAATGAAAAAATGGGGCAATCGAACTGCTTCTAGACGGTCCTTACTGTACAGAAAGAAAAACAGCCAAAGACAGGAATACTGTACAAATACTGGAATGCATGTTATATAAGCCAGCTGACTAAGTGATCAGAATTCGTGTGGCATAAGGTAGAAGAATCTGCATTTCAAAACCAGAACTCAAGATGATAGGGTCAGTGATACTTAAGAGCACACTGAAAAACACTGATCTATAGGGATGCTGTGTTTCTAGGAGGGTTAAAGGTATTACAAAGTCTTGTTCAGTGCTAGGCCATAACTAGTCTTGCTTGATCGGTTCAACCAAGGAGGCAAAGGAAATGCCCCAGGCAAAACACACTGAGCGTGATTCTGTTCCCAGCCCAGGCAGTCAGACAAGGTGGTTGCCACAGTCACCCCCAAAGGAGCCAGAGAACATTATGTAATCACTGCCCAAGCTCTAAGATGAAGAGATCTGAAGTTCTTTCACTAATGTCTGTCATTAAGGTTTTCTTTCACCCGTTAAGTTGACTGGCTGATTATAAGGATTCTGCTTTTAATGTAGAGAAATATTTTGTCACCCACTGAAGGAAAGAAAGTCTTTCAGCTTATAGCTGTTAAAAGAATTAGTCATTTTGTATCTACCCATTCAATCATGACCGGTCTGTGGTGACAAAGACAGACTTTGGCCCTCACTATTTAGTCCTAGTATTTTTTCCTCTGGATACAGAGGGGGAGGATCTCAGACAATGAAAAATAGAAAATGAAGCACAGAGCTATGAAATGGTTACTTTTCATAGCTGCTATGACAAAATTTAAATGGGGTGGACCTGTGCGAAATCCTGAGAACCTGAAAACGGGTCACTATTGAGAAATGACAAAAATGACCCAAAGTCAAATTTAAGGCTGCTCAGCAAATGTATTTCTGATGTTTGTCCAGAGTTTCAAATCTCCTTCACCACAGCAGAACAGAGACAAGCTCGCTGAAGTGACATCATCCGATGCTCGCTCGCTCGCTCTCTAATGGGAGGAGTTATGATTGTTTATAGGCTTTTTAAATAGACATATTTATATATTAGCATTAAAAATATATACTCAGGACTGTTGTGACTGGGTATGTGAGTATCAATTTTAGTCACAATTGACGTCAGATAAACAAAGAACTCAGATAATAATTTGCTGGTGGAATTTTCATCTGTGCATTCCAAACATTTTCTTTTAAGACCAAGACTGTCAGCAATGGGTTCAGGAAAACAATACCAATACTCAAACCAAAACCTTTAATCCTTTTAGGGAGTCAGTTTTCTGTTTCTATTTCAAAGCAAGGCAGTCATTTAAAAATCAACCCCTTGACGTTTCCAACTAGAACATCTCTAGAAAATAAGTTCAGGCATGTCCAGATTAATATTATATTCTTAAAAATTTTATAGCATATTAGTGGTCTATTTTTTCAGTAGTAGTTTTCATTAGGCCATAATAAAAACGCTTATTGTGCATACTTGGCATAGAAACTTTTTTTTTTAACGTTAAAACTAAGTTTACCCTAGGCTAATAGGTCTTGAAAAATGCTAAGGAGAAAATAAATTAAACAAGGATAACTTCTACAGTGAATTGCTACAAGACTGAATTTTTGCAGCCAGAAGAGATTAGGTAGGTAGCGGCTGTGGGCTTTCTATTTTGACTTGTGAGACAATTATACTCACATTTAAACGAACATTACTGTAAGCCACTAAAAGCTCACACAATAACGGCTCCACTCATGATTTTTGACCTAGGGCTAAAAGGGACATGTTGCAGAAGGGCCGACTGTAGCAGGAACCCGAGGGCAAATTTCTTGTGTTCAGTTTCAGTGAAGCTAAGAGGTCCTCCCAAAGACGCTGATAGAATTTAAAAGCCAACTGTTACTTTTACACTAACATCCACATAGTAATTACTGACCTTCACGGGAATATTGGTCTTAGTTGTAAAATCAACAGCCAGAACCCACTGGGAGCAGAGTCACCTTGCCCCTCTCCCCCCAGACCCCACGGTGAAGTTCACCTGCCAAGACTTTACGGCCCAAGAAAAGGGAGGTAAAGCAGAAAAATGCTTTTAAAATTAAGACGCTTACAGCTGCTGGACTTAGTCCAAGGGGCTGCTCAGCCTAGAAACGAAAGTAGGAAACAACAGGGGTTTAGGCTTGGAATGATGTCAGCCATTTTAGGCACATTATTTATCCTGGGAAGGAAGTGCCAAACTCAGTTGCTGTTGTTTTGCCTGTCGCTGCCGGCTCGGGCCAACCGAGCAGCGGACCCACGCACATTCCCGGCCTGCGCAGACCGCGGGGACCTGCGCACCGTCCTGCTCCCGAGCTCGTCCCGCAGGCCCAGACGCCGGGACCCCGAGCCAGGCACCGTTCGCGGCACACGCACTGCCTTACAAAGGCGCTGCGGCCCCGCACGACCCGGGCGCCGGCTCTCCTGGGACTGGCCCCGCCGCTGGGGCGCACGGGGCCGCACGGCCGCGCCGCTCCCCTACGCCCCAGCTCCCCGGACTCGGACCTTGCAGTCCACCGCGACGGCATCGGGGGGGATGATGAGCGCCTCCTCGCCGCTCTTGGGTTCGTCCTTCTTGGCCTCCTTCTGGGCCAGGGCCGAGTTGAACGTCACCTTCACCATGGCGCGGTCTGGGGCGCCCTCGGAGGGCGGCGGCGGGTTCGGGCACGGTCTGTGGGCAGTGGGCTCCCCGCTGCGGATGCAGCCCCCTCGGCCGGCTCCGGGCCCGGCGCAGCAGCAGCTGAGAAGGCTCCGGCTGCTCCGCTG